GATGATTTCAATCAAAGTGTGGCTTAAACATTTCCATGATTCAAAAAAACAAATTAGCATTTTTTTGTTAAAAATAATAGCTAATTTGTTGGTTAAAAAAGTCTGAGATTATTATATCAGTGCTGTGGTTCCGCTTCATGATGTTCTTTTTTATTCATAACCTGCTGAAGTGTAACAAAACAAATCTTACAGTAAGTCTTCTGTCGTGTGAAAAATCCTCCAAACTGCTGACATTGTTGGCCCACTTAAATAAACGAGACATTTGGTCGTAAAGTCGTTACAGAGTATCGGGTTGCTGGATCAGTATGTTTTTGAGTAGGAGTACAAGTATTTGAATTAGCATTTATTTACTGCCCATGATGTTTGTAGGTAAATATGTGGATTAAAGGAGGTTTAATTACACGACTTCTTCGGATGCTATTTCACACTCGCAGCTGAGGCAACCGTTGTCAGAGAAGTTCCTATTTGTACATTTCCATCCAGTATGTTCTGTTAACATATCACAGCCCGGTCTTTTCCATGTTTCCCTGGAGGAATTACACATGCCCGTGTTGTTGATTGTGCCAGCCAGCAGCACTCCATTAGTAAGCCAAGGGGAAAAAAATCAATTGGAGGGATAAGACTCCCCAGACAGAAGCCAATTAAAGACATGGGGGAGGCAGGGAGAGTCTGACGAGACCTGAGGGCCTAAAAGTAAAACCAGGGCTAAGAGCTCCAGGGACTCAGTCAACAGCAGGAGACCTTTGGGAGAAGCTAATGTGAGAGGCTTCAGGCAAAGTGCCTCCAAATCTTTCCACTCCTAGAAATCAATTTAAAAACACCACAATCTCATCATCATCAGCTGATGCTGGCCTCTGATTTGACATGGGCCGAACCGAAACAAAATCACTGAAAGCAGGGAACTGTAAGTGGACGGATGGGGAGCCACGACCCGTCAGCTCACGGTCTACTGTACAATAGCCTGGTAGAAAGTACTGGAGTGACGACAAAAGCCGGCTTGTTATCATGATAAAAGATGTTTCTGTTGACTGTGAAAAACTGCAATCCAATATGTCACGTAAACAGAAGAGTGATTGTACAGCTGCTCCACCACTGCGGGCCTTTTGTGACCACGGAAACCCCCTCTCCACTGAAGACGGCACGTAGGAATCCGTACTTTTTAAATCCATGATTGTAACCGTCATTGTGATAATGCCACAGTGAACCTGGAACCCTGAAAACGTGAAGCTGAATGGCGCAAGATTGTGTTGCCTAGTTATTGTTTAAATTAGGAAATACCTTTTTTTTACAAAATACTTACTAAAACTTTTATTTCAGCTTTTCAACATGATTTCTTTGTTCCACTATTACAGCAGAGTGAGTTTCTTCACTTTTAAATGGAGACATCCGTAACCGCCATTGTAACAATGTGAACACTGATGACAGGTCCAAACAAACAAAAAAAAAAACATTCTTAGTTCAATAATATGGTAGAAAACACAAGTGTAGCTACAGTGCTAATGCTAGCAGATCACTGCTTTCTTTATGCTTTTTGAAGCACTGAAGCGCTCTCTCTTACCTGGATGTTAAAACTGACCTATAATCCAATAATCCACTTCAATCTAAGCAAAGGTTTTGGGTCAGGATGTTTTTTTAGAAAAAAACAAAAACATTTTCATGTGAGAAAGCCTTGATACAGAGTGCTAAACTCATTCAGAGCATTTGTGTGGGCACACAGGAAGACAGCAGGAGGCCTTACCCAGAGCAGTTACATCACAATAAAGAGCTGAGACGGCCTGTGTGTGATGGAAAGAGAAAGTAAAAAAGGCAGAGGGAGACAGAAGCACCGTGTCAGTTCACATTTCACTGCTCCTATTATAGCCATGACTTTGGCCGGTGCAGAGGCCTGTCTCTGGGTTACCGCCCTCGCAACATACAATGAAGCTAACAGCTTCATAAAGATCATTGTCATGGAATCTGTGTGGCTGCGTTATTGATTTTCATAGGACAGCAGCAGGAAGTCCAGCTAACAAGGATGACACTCCGTCCAACAGGGCTGTGTGGGCCATGACTGCATGTCCTGTTTGTGCAGATCTCACATTTTCAGCCGGTTTTCACTCAAACACAGAAAACTAAGCGAGTCCAGCTGGAGGGAAGGAGTAACTGTAGGAGTCAATACCAGTG